GTGCCAAAGGTGAAGAAGGAAGCTCCTGCCCCTCCCAAAGCAAAATCCAAAGTAAAGGCATTGAAGGCTGAGAAGGCAGTGCTGAAAGGCAACCACAGACACAGAAAAATGAATATTCCTACATCATCCACAGTTCACTGGCTGAAGACACTGTGGCCACTCCAAAGGAAGCCCAAATATCCCAGGAAGAGCTCCCCAAGGGGAGACAAGCTTGACCACTGTGCCATCATCCACTTTTCCGTGACCACTGAGTCTGCCATGAAGAAGAGAGAAGAAAACACCACACTTGTGTTCACTGTGGATGTCAAAGCCAACAAGCACCAGGACAAACAGGCTGTGAAGAAGCTCTTTGATATTGCTGTGGTCAAGGTCAACACTCTGACCAGGCCTGATGGAGAGACTAGGCATAAGTTCCACTGGCTCTTGATTATGATGATTTGGATGTTGCCCACTAAATTGGGATCATCTAAAGCAGCTGTTCTCAACCTGCGGGTTGCAACCCCTTTGCACTGTATTAAAGGGTCACGGCATTAGGAAGGTTGAGAGCCACTGATCTAAGGGAAGTCCAGCTGGCTAATTCTAAATATAGGGTGGACATAAAGTTCATGTGCAATTTAAATAGTAAAGTATTTTAAATTTAAACAGTAAACAATTTAAATTTAAATGATGAAGTTTTAATTTTAAATAGTAAACAATTTAAAATTGTATGCGAACTTTATGTCCACCTGCATATAACTTTTCACCAAAAAGAAATATATACAATTGTTAATATGTTGTTTCCATGAGTGGAAAACATGTATTTACTGCGTGTGTATATATGAACACATATGTACGTATATATTGTTAAAATTAATAAAACGATATATAATTTATATCCAGGGCTAACTGCAAATACTCAGGCAGAGCTGCATCTCAGAGAAGACACAAAGTCATGTGTAAAAAGAGCTACAGAGTTTGTTAGGTAAAGCCCACGTTGTAGCTGAGCCCTTCACCCGGGAGGTGCACCATGAACCCCTACGTCGTGCCTGTTAGTTGGGAGCTTAAAGACCACCTCCTGCATGAAGCCTCCAGCAATGCCAACCTGCTGACTGGACACTACACCTAATTTCACCCTTCTCTGAACTGTCATAGCCTTTGCTTGTAACTCCCAATGTCTTTCATCTGTGCATCAGGTGACTGTGCATGTTTTTAGCTAGACTTCATGATGTACATTCAAAATGCCTTCAAAGCAGAGTCTAACTCCTGTTTAAATAGGTGCCCAAGCCTCGCACAACTGAACACTCAGTTAACAGACTTTCATTCCTTTAGTCGAAATTTGTGAAACACGTACTCTTTGGCAAGAGGATATCCAGCGGCCCTGGAATATCGAGATGAATAAAGTCATGGTCCCTGCCCTTAATCAATAAAAGGAAAAGGAAAACATGAAAAGTGCTGTGGTCAAGAAACTGTTAGCTCAAGAGATGGGAAGCTGGACCAGGTGACAACGCATGGCTGTGCCCCAGGCTTTCCTACCAGTGGCCCTCCATGAGCTACTACTATTGTCTTGATGGAGCCTTTGACCTGCCCTTAAAGCTTAGCTGAGGGCTTCTTGGAGGAGGAGCTTTGGCTCAACGCTGAGCTGAGCCAGCTGCAGTTTTCAGAGCCAGGGGGCATCATGTACAATCCTGTGGAGTATGTGTGGGAGCCACATTGCAGCTGTGTGACTCACTACTGCCAGGGCCCCAAGCAAGTGCTCTTCCTGGGGATGAACCTGGGACCTTTTGGCTTGGCCCAGACTGGGGTGCCCTTTGGGGAAGTGAGCAGGGTCCGGGACCGGTTGGGCTTTGGGGGGCCTTTGCTGACCCCTCCCCAAGTGCAACCTAAACGACCGATGCTGGGACTGGAGTGCCCACAATCAGAAGTGAGTGGTACCTGACTCTGGGGCTTTTTCCAGAACCTCTGTGAACAGCTAGAGGTCTTCTTCCCGACACTGCTTTGTCCACAATCTGTGTTCATTGCTCTTCCTGACTTCCAGTGGGTGCAAACTCACCCCTGCTGAGCTGCCTGCCAAACAGCAAGAACAGCTTCCTGGGATCTGTGATGTGGCCATTTGCTGGCAGGTGCAGTTGGGGCGGCTGGTGGTGGGAGGAGGGCGACTGACTGAGTAGCGGGCACTGTGGGCTCTCTCAGGGCTAATGCCAGAGGTCCAGGTGGAGGGGCTGCTGCACCCTTCTCCTTGTAACCCATTGGCCAACAAGGGCTGGGAGGCAGTGGCCAAGGAGAGACTGAAGGAGTTGGGGCTGCTGTCCTTACTCTCAAAATGAGAACGCTGGGGGCCAGACATAGGACTTGTTCAAGGTCTCCAGGTCATTCCAGGGCAAGGAGACAGGACACCTCCTGCACTAGAGCCAAAAGGTCTTCTTGGGCCTGCTGGTGGCTGGGAAACTTGCTCTCTGATCTGTTGACTGTCTACCAACCTGCTGTGGCAGTTTTGACACTACTCCAGTTCGCCCTCCTGATCCCTGCTTTTTTCCCCACCCTTTGAGCTTTGCCCCTTTGTGGTGTCTCACTCCACAGAGCATCAGAAGGGGGGCTTTGCCGCAGACTGCTCTACCTCACCATTTCCTTGGGAAACTATTCAGCGGAGAGTGACCTAAACAGTGACTTCTAAAGTCATATTTGCTGTTTCAGAGGAAATACCTTGCCAGGATCCTTAGCCATCCTTATAGAGTCCTGCTGCTGACCCCTTCTGTCATAGGGTCAGGACAAATCACAGGACATGATATTAAGACGGAATTATGTGGAAAGCTAAGGCTAGACCAGATGGAGAATTCAGTGCTGTGGAATGGGAAAGACAGAAGACTTGGATTTTCTTTTTTTATTTATTGATTTTTCATTTCATTTTATTTTTTTTGGCCAGGGCTGGGCTTGAACCCCCCACCTCGGGTATATGGGGCTGGTGCCCTACTCATTTGAGCCACAGGCGCTGCCCTTTTCTTTTCTTTTTTCATTTTGAGACAGAGTCTTGTCTTGTTTCCCTTAGTAGAGCACTGTGGCATCATAGCTCACAGCGACCTCAAAATTCTTGGACATAAGCAATTCTAAAGCCTCAGCCTCCCAAATAGCTGGGACTACAGGTGCCCCCCACAACGCCCGGCAATTTTTTATTTTAGAGACGTGCTCTGGTTCTTCCTCAGGCAGTCCACCGCCTGGGCTTCCCAAGTGCTGGGATTACAGGTGTGAGCCACTGCGCCTGGCCTGAGAAGACCTGGATTTTCATCCCAGCTTTGATGGACTTGTGAACTTTATGATGGACAATTGGTCAGCCTCAGGATTCCTCTTCACAAGTAGGGGATGACTACTCGCGGTAGGTGCGAGAATTAACCGAGATAACACTGGAGAGTGAGCTATGGCACTGATGGCACTGGCCTGGCTCACGGCTGCTCATTACTCTTCTTACATTCTTGCCTCTGGTTTGGGGAGTCACTGCACAGCCCTACAAGGGAGCCCCTCTGCACTCTGAGGACTTTGCTTAGGGTGAGTCTGGGCTTCCACCTGTGGCCAGGGTAAGGAACAAATTCTTGCCCTTGCAGAGATGGACCATGGATCAGTGACTATGGAAACACAGCTTGTAAGTTTTTGTTTGTTTGTTTAACCATTAAAAGCTCCTAAAGAGGCTCCGCAACCATAACCCAGTGGTTATGGCGCCAGCCACATACAGGCGGCGGTTGCGAACCGGGCGTGAGCCAGCTAAACCGTGACAACTGCAACAGAAAAATACCTGGGCGTTGTAGCGGGCACCTGAAGTCCCAGCTACTGGGAAACTGAGAAGGAGTTTGAGGTTGTTGTAAGCTGTGACACCGAGGCACTCTACCGAGGGCGACAGCTTGAGACTCTGTCTCAGAAAAAAAAAAAAACTTCTAAACAAAACAAAACAAACAAACAAAAAAGTAACTGTTAGTATTCTGGCCTCATTCACACTTTTGTCCTGTGGCAGTGCTGTCACTCAAGGACAGAGAGGTGGGGCCTGAAGCCTCATCCAATCAGAGATGCTCCAACATGAACTGTCCAATGAGGTGCACAGCCGGAAGGCAGGAGGCAGTTCCTGGGATCCCGAGCCCGGTGTATCTCTTGAGCTGGTTGCTGATCTGGGCTTCCCTCTTCAACTATTGCTGCTCCGGAAGCATCCAGGTGTCTGTGCAACAGCGTCTGTCACCGCGTGATCTGCAGGTATTGGGAGATCTGTAGGGAGGACACCGGGACATCCCTGAAGCCGGGACATGGTGAGTATAGGAGACTGGGTGTCCTGAGAGGGGGAGGGGCATGGTTGGAGCCGGAAGTGGCTGTGGCGGGACTGGGCAATTTCACTTCAGTTTTACGTCTTCAGAGAGATGTTTGCCACTGGTCCCCCTTGGCCCTCAGACTCCTGTGAGCAAAGGACGCAGTGGGGCAGGCAGCTGGGACTCAGTTGTCCCGGTCCCTTCCTAGAGTGGTTATTGCTCTGAGTACCTCCCTTGTGGTGACAATGGAAGGGTCCTCAGGGAAGAATCCCAATTGAGTGCGTGGGGCTTGTTCCTGGGAAGGGCCGTACTCCGTGGGGCCCCCACTTCCTCCATTCTCCAGTTAAATGTAAACTTAGGACCGGGCTCTGTGGCTTACGGTGTTGCTGAACGGAAAGTGGCTCTGTTTGCCTGTCGGAGACAGGGAGATGATTGGTGAAAAGTCGTTATCGGAAAGGGTAGTAATTACGGAGAACAACGAGAGTAATTTTTTAAATGTTGTTTTGTCCATGGAGCAAATGTTAATACGTTATATAGAGGATAA